TAGAGTGGTAGAGTAAATGGCAGATGCTTTCTGCCGCTGCCGGTGTCGCCATCACTTGCCTTATTATGGCCTACTTTATTCATTCTAGAGTATATATCATGTTTCTATTATTAATATTGTTCTAGAGTATATATCATGTTTCTATGTTATTAATATTGTTTATTATGTCATATTAGATGAACTGTGATAGATAACTAAGCCGTAGAGTTGATATTAGTATTATTTTGTCATGCCTCCTGAGAGGCTAAAATGGATTAATTGCATTTGAATTAATTTAAATGAGGAAAATTGACTCAGCACACGAACAACTCAGGATATGAACAAGGTCATGGAACGGATTAAATTCGTAAGCCGAGGTTCCACTATTTTTTTTTCCGATAAGTCAGCCGTCTCCCACCAAGGCAGGGTGACCCATAAAGAAAGAAAATCTCCCCCCAAAAATACTCTCATCATCTTTCAACACTTTCACCTCACTCACACATAATCACTGTTTTTGCAGAGGTGCTCAAAATGCAACAGTTTAGAAGCATATACATATAAAGATAGCCCTCCAAACTGCCAATATCCCAAACCCCTCCTTTAAAGTGCAAGCATTGTACTTCCCATTTCCAAGACTCAAGTCTGGCTACATAAATATAACTGGTTTCCCTGAATCCCTTCACTAAATATTACCCTGCTAACACTCCAACAGCTCATCAGGTCCCAAATACCATTAGTCTCCATTCACTCCTATCTAACATGCTCACGCACGCTTGCTGGAAGTCCAAGCCCCTCGCCCACAAAACCTCCTTTACCCCCTCCCTCCAACCTTTTTGAGGATGACCCCTACCCCGCCTTCCTTCCCCTACAGATTTACACACTGTCCATGTCATTCTACTTTGATCCATTCTCTCTAAATGACCAAACCACCTCAACAACCCCTCTTCAGCCCTCTGACTAATACATTTATTAACTCCACACCTAATTTCTGCACTCTGAATTTTCTGCATAATATTTACACCACACATTGTCCTTAGACAGGACATCCTCACTGCCTCCAACTGCCTCCTTGCTGCAGCATTTACAACCCAAACTTCACACCCATATAAGTGTGTTGGTACTACTACACTTTCCTACATTCCCTTCTTTGCCTCCATTAAGAACGTTTTTTGTCTCCACATGTACCTCAACGCACCACTCGCCTTTTTTCCTGACAACTCCCAAATATCTGAAAACATTCACTTCTTCCATACTCCTCCTCCCCAGTTTGATATCCAATTTTTCTTTATCTAAATCATTTTGATACCCTCATCACCTTACTCTTTTCTATGTTCACTTTCAACTTTCTACCTTTACACACACTCCCAAACACGTCCACTAACTTTTGCAATTTTTCTTTAGAATCTCCCATAAGCACAGTACCATCAGCAAAAAGTAACTGTCAATTCCCATTTTGTATTTGATTCCCCATAATTTAATCCCACCCCTCTCCCAAACACCCTAGCATTTACTTCTTTTACAACCCCATCTATAAATATATTAAACAACCATGGTGACATTACACATCCCTGTCTAAGACCTACTTTTACTGGGAAGTTGTCTCCCTCTCTTCTACACACCCTAACCTGAGCCTCACTATCCTCATAAAAACTCTTTACAGCATTTAGTAACTTACCACCTATTCCATATATGTACTTGCAACATCTGTCACATTGCTCCCCTATCCACTATCATATGCCTTTTCTAAATCCATAAATGCAATAAAAACTTCCCTACCTTTATCTAAATACTGTTCACATATATGCCACAATGTAAACACTTCATCTACACATCCCCTAACCACTCTAAAACCTCCTTGCTCATCTGCAATCCTACATTCTGTCTTACCTCTATTTCTTTCAGTAATAACCCTACCGTACACTTTTCCTGGTATACTCAGTAGACTTATTCCTCTATAACTTTTACAATCTCTTTTGTCCCCCTTCCCTTTATATAAAGGGACTATACATGCTCTCTGCCAATCCCTAGGTACCTTCCCCTCTTTCATACATTTATTAACCCTTAAACTGTCCAAACTTTTGAAAGTATGTAAAAAAATAAATTTTTTTTTTTTTTTTTTTACATTTGAAAGGGAGGAAAAAAAAACAACTTTGATCTACTTTTCTAACACAACACATGTGAACGTAGATCTATGTTTGGACAGTTTAAGGGTTAAACAAAAATACCAACCACTCCAACACTATATCCCCCCCTGCTTTTAACATTTCTGTCATGATCCCGTCAGTTCCAGCTGCTTTACCTCCTTTCATTCTGCGTAATGCCTCACGCACCTCCCCCACACTCACATCCTGCTCATCTTCCCTCCTTAAAGATGGTATACCTCCCTGGCCAGTGCACGAAATTACCACCTCCATTTCTTTGTCGACATTTAAAAGTTCCTCAAAATATTCTCGCCATCTACCCAATAACTCCATCTCCCCATCTTCTAACTCCCCTATTCTGTTTTTAACTGACAAATCCATTCGTTCACTAGGCTTTCTTAACTTGTTTAACTCGCTCCAAAAATTTTCTTATTTTCATTAAAATTTCTTGACAGTGCCTCCCTCTCCCACTCTATCATCTGCACTCGTTTTGCACTCTCTCACCACTCTCTTTACCTTTCTTTTACTCTCCATATACTCTACCCTTCTTATACACTTTCACCCCCCTCTTACTTCTTGTTACCATTTTCCTCTTTTCCCATCTACCTCTTACTCTAACTGTAGCTACAAATAATGATCCAATATATCAGTTGCCCCTCTATAAACGTGTACATCCTGGAGCCTACCCATCGACCTTTTATCCACCAATACATAATTTAAAACTACTTTCGTTATGTGCTATATCATACCTTGTATATTTATTTAACCTCTTTTTTCATAAAATATGTATTACTTATTACCAAACCTCTTTCTACACATAGCTCAAAGGCTCCCCATTTTCATTTACCCCCTGGTACCCCAAATTTACCTACTACTCCCTCCACAACATTTTTACCCACTTTAGCATTGAAATCCCCAACCACAAGCAGTCTCACACTTGGTTCAAAACTCCCCATGCATTCATTCAACTTTTCCCAAAATCTCTCTCTCTCCTGTGCACTTTTCTCTTCTCCAGGTGCATATACACTTACTATAACCCACTTTTCACATCCAACCTTTATTTTACTCCACATAATCCTTGAATCTCGTGTTTTTCTTTTTGGTCTTTCGTTTTTCTTTTTGGGCCACCCTGCCTTGGTGGGATACGGCCGGTTTGTTGAAAAATATAAATAAATAAATCCTTGAATACATTTATAGTCCCTCTTTTCCTGCCATATCTTATCCTTCAACATTATTGCTACTACTCCTTTAGCTCTAACTATTTCAAACCCCTGACCTAATACCATTTATTCCTTTCCACTGAAACTCTCCCACTTCCTTCAGCTTTGTTTCACTTAGAGCCAGGACATCCAACTTCTTCTCATTCATAACATCCACAATCATCTCTTTCGTATCATTCGCACAACATCCACGCACATTCAGACATCCCACTTTGACAATTTTCTTCTTATTCTTTTTAGTAATTTTTACAGGAAAAGGGGTTACTAGCCCATTGTTCCCAGCATTTTAGTTGTCTTTTACAACACGCATGGCTTACGGAGGAAAGATTCTTGTTCCACTTCCCCATGGATATAAAAGGAAAAGTAATAAGAACAAGAACTATTAAGATAAAAACAAAGAAAACTCAGACGAGTATGTATAAATAAACGTGTATGTGTGCGTGTGTGTGTGTGTCTTAAGTGTAAGTAGAAGTAGCAATACGTACCTGTAATCTTGCGTATTTCCGAGAGACTAAAGACGCCAGCAATCCTTCCATCATGTAAAACAATTACAGGCTTTCGTTTTACACTCACTTGGCAGGACGGTAGTACCTCCCTGGGTGGTTGCTGTCTACCAACGTACTACACACACACACAATTATGAATCTTCATCTACAAATGTATTATAAATAAATTAAATGAAAAACCACATGAAAATTGCAGTGGCTCACTTCTCAGAAGGAAGCCACGGTTAGGTGAGAAAGGGATGGGCAAGGAAAGGTACCAGAGGATGGGAAGCCAATTTCTCACGACTACAGTGCATAATAATCAATTTCATCAGTTTTAAAAAAAATCTTGCCCCATGCAGTACTTGATGGGGAAAAAGCAAACCTCTGACCTGTTTGGTTTAAACAGTAACAAGGTATTGTCTAATTGGTTTTATTGTAGGTTTCTTGGTATAAATCAATAGAATGGCACATAGACATACTAATGAAAGATGCTTTAAGTCTATTTCAGACTGGAAGTATCCTGAAATAGGGCTCAAAGTGGTGGAAATGTAATTTATATTTTTGGCGATTTTCCTGAGGGAAGAGGAAAGAGGAGAGAGGTGTAGCCACTAATATTTAGCTCAGCTCATAACATGACAAAAACCATCACTGACATGCCTCAAGTATCTCTTGTGTAAACTAATAAAATCTAAAATATTTAGTCACTTTTTTTATACTATGAATGGGCAGTTACAGAGATGCTCTTGATGCCATCCCAGGCTACATAACTGTTCCACATAATGCAACCAACTAAAACAGGCAAAATACTGTTGTCTAATAGACTGTGCCAGTAAGACATCAAATATAAATGTTTGAAGTAGAGCAGTGCATTGTTTTTATGGTGGATAATGCAAAAATCATATCTCACACACTATCAATATCATTTAATAACTCAATGGAGGTGGGAAGTACAATGCTTGCACTTTAAAGGAAGGGGTGGAGGTATGTTGCAGTTTTTGAACTTAGTATCAGCATGTCTTTGGCAACACAGTGATGGAGTGAGCAATTATGAAAGTTTCTTATTTTTTGGGTCATCCTACCTCGGTGGGAAATGGCCAATGTGTTAAAAAAAAAAAACTGCTAATTTAACTTTATATCTAGTGGTAAGAAATTTAATTGTAGGTTTTACTTACCCTTTCTCTGCAATCCTCTAAACCATCTTTTAGCTGCTGATTATTTGGGTCTAACTGAAGCCCTTTTTGATAAACACTTAAAGCTTCAGGTAATTTCTTCAAGTATACCAGTGCAGCTGCTTTCCGTGAGTATCCCTATAATTAAGATCCATTTCAGAATGATAATTATAAGTAAATAAACACATTGCAATATCTTCTAAGTAGCTACTGTATTAATGCAACCATATAACAGCAAACACTTGCTGAAACTAATAAGGGGGAATATCCAAATGTCAGTCAAATTGGAAAAAAAAAAAAGTACTCTATTGTATAATTATTATAGTATGGTACACACTTAGCAGATATACTGCTAAGTTTGTTACATTGAGGGGGTCTACTGTATTATACTCATGGGGAAGAGCCAAACCCACAAATATCATACAGCACCTGGATGGTGATCTTGTTTGAAGCAAGGAAGGGAAGGGTAGCTCAAATTCTAGAGTAATGAAGTACAGACCAGAACAAAATTAGGACAAATTAACAATTTACACTGATGTACATGTCGACAAGAAACAATGGAGCATAAGGAGACAGGCATTATTGTTGAAAAAAAAAAGATGGAGGGAAAAAATCTGATAGGAATCTGATAGAACACTTGAGAAACTGTCTGGAGCCACACAAGTTATTAGAAAGAGGTTGCCATTGGTAGAAAAATTAATCAAATATAAACCTGGTGAAATGTCTACATCAAAGCTCAATAATCTAGATACCACTTTTCCTTTTAGAGGATAGCAATTCACTATTTTAATCAACAATTTTTAGCATCTTTCCCATATTCCATTCAAGTTCATAAGCCTCTCCATTAGCAAATCAAAACCAGAAATTATGTTTTATGCTAACTGGGCAAGGTGAAAAAGTAAAAACCTGGATGGAGAAGCATGATAACCATCAATCTTAATAAGAGCATAATGAAGAAAAATGGTATGGTTTTATTAACAAGATGTGGAAGAAGACATTTATGTACAGTTCAGGATCTTTATTAGAGGAAACAATTTGCCACAAGTGGCAAAACTTTTCCTCTAATAAAAGTCCTGAACTGTACGTGTTTTTCCACATGATGAAGCACTGTAGTAGGTTGCCTGGGTTGTATACCAGGCAGGTCCTCCTCTCACCCATAATATCTGCATAATAACCTAGGTATTCACTTCAATGATGCTAACTTAAAGTTGTCTCCACTTGTCTACAGCTCCACTGTTAAACTATTGCTCTATATTCTTAATTTATTTAACTTTTAATCACTTATTGTAATTTTATAGTTATACATCGTTCACTGATGACTCGGACTTACAACGGGCTCTCTGACTGATATGCATACTTAAATAATGTATATTAGAGCTGATTTCCTCTACTCTGTTATTACAATATTCGGTACACTACTGAATAAACATTTAAAAATATATCAGAAATGTTCTAAATGGTGCAAAGGTGACATTAAAACAATATCAAAGATGGTTGACACAAACCCATTGCCATTATAGTATGCTCCTTGCTTAGCAACGAATTCGTTTACCGACATGGTCTTAGGAACGGAACTCCCTTGGTAAATGAGGAGAGGCTGTATAAAGACATCCTTAGTGCCTTTTTTATATCCCCTTTATTTATGCTTATCTTCCACTTACACGCTTCAATTTCAAAACTCCTTAGTCTATGCACTCCAAGAGTTTAGGCTCACAGCTCTCAAACTATTTCCAGATATGGGATTAACCATCATCCTTCTTTTTTTTCAACAACTTATATTCTGTGAGACCAAAACTGCATTACAGAGAAACAGCAAAGAATTTAAGTTAAAATCTGCATGCTACAATAGCAAAACTATATATGGGAATCCTTGACCTATGTTTAACCTTTTGAGGGTCCGTCCCATAGTTCTACGGCTTGTCCACAGGGTCCAAGTACAGTGGAACCTCAGCTTACGAGTGCCCCACAATACGAGCTTTTCAGGATACGAGCAGTCGCTTGGTCGATTTTTTGTTTCAGGATGCGAGCTTCCCCCTCAAACAACTTTTTTTTTATAACCTCCAGATCTTACAAAAGTAAAAGTAAAAATAAAATTGTAGTTCACTGTCGTGATGTATTATGTTGTTTTTACTGCTTAAGATTATAACTGCAACAGAAATAATAGTATTTCTTACCTTAAATTGTGGATGTTAGTGTTTGTCGATAATTGTGAAGAGAGTGGAGAGTTATGCTGTGGCCCTACCGGGCTGAGGTGGATGGTAGAGGTTCTGGTACTCAAGTCGATGGTTGTACTGGAGTGTGCATAAACTCTAATGGATTTCTGTTCTATTTTACCATGCAGTACATTATACAACTGATGGTAAAGCATCAGCTGCTCTAGACACTGCTTATTTATGTTTATATTTTGGGTACACTGGTCCTGATTCCACATGCTATGGGAATATAAAAAGTACATTAAATGGGCTAGCCAAGGTTAAATTTACTTTAAAGTTAAACACTGCATTCACGTTCAAGTGTACAAACTTCACTGTAGCCAACTAAGCCTCTCTACATATTTACAGATTGACAAAAACTATTAATATTGCTGAATACTCTAGCCTGAGCCTCACTATTTTTGTAAAACTCTTCACTGCTATCAGTAGCCTACCTCTTATTCTATATATTTGCTACATCTGCCACATTGCCCCCCATCCACCCTGTCATATGCCTTTTCCAAATCCATAAATGCCACAAAACCTCTTTATCCCTATCTAAATGCAGATGACCTATATGTTTCAGTGTAAACACTTGGTCTACACACCCCCAGGCTTTAGGAAAGGTAGGGGGTGTGTAGAACAAGTGTTTATGGTGAAACAGAGGTGAACAGTATTTAGATAAGGGTAAAGAGGTTTTTGTGGCATTTATGGATTTGGAAAAGGCATATAACAGGGTGGATGGGGGGCAATGTGGCAGATGTAGCAAATGTATAGAATAAGAGGTAGGCTACTGATAGCAGTGAAGAGTTTTTACAAGGATAGTGAGGCTCAGGTTCAAGTATAGGAGAGAGAGGGAGATTATTTCCCAGTAAAAGTAGACCTTAGACAAGGATGTGATTTCACCATGGTTGCTCAATATATTTATAGATGGGGTAAGAGAAGTGAATGATCGGGTGTTGGCAAGAGGTGTTGGGTTAAAGACAAAGAATCTAACACAAAGTGGGAGTTGTCACAGTTGCTCTTTGCTGATGGCACTGTGCTTTTGGGAGATTCTGAAGAAAAGTTGCAGAGGTTGGTGGATGAGTTTGGTAGGGTATGTAAAAGAAGAAAATTAAAAGTGAATATAGGAAAGAGTAAGGTGATAAGGATAACAAAAAAAATTAGGTGACAAAAGATTGGATATCAGATTGGAGGGAGAGAGTATGGAGGTGGTGAATGTATTCAGATATGTATTTAGGAGTGGACCTGTCAACAGATAGGTCTATGAAGGATGAGGCGAATCACAGAACTGATGAGGGGAGACAAAGAACTTGGTCCATGGAAGCATAGAGGGCAATGTATGAGAGTATACTTATACCAATGCTCTTATATGGGTGTGAAGCATGGGTGGTGAATGTTGTAACAAGGAGAAGGCTGGAGTGTGAGAGTGAGTGTGTGTGTGTGTGTGTGTGTGTGTGAATGTGAGTGTGAATGTGAGCGTGAATGTGAGCGTGAATGTGAGCGTGAATGTGAGCGTGAATGTGAGCGTGAATGTGAGCGTGAATGTGAGCGTGAATGTGAGCGTGAATGTGAGTGTGAATGTGAGTGAGTGTGAATGTGAGTGAGTGGAATGTGAGTGTGAATGTGAGTGTGAATGTGAGTGTGAATGTGAGTGTGAATGTGAATGTGTGAATGTGAGTGTGAATGTGTGTGTGTGAATGTGAGTGTGAATGTGAGTGTGAATGTGAGTGTGAATGTGTGTGTGAATGTGAGTGTGAGAGTGAGTGTGTGTGTGTGTGTGTGTGTGTGTGTGTGTGTGTGTGTGTGTGTGTGTGTGTGTGTGTGTGTGTGTGTGTGTGTGTGTGTGTGTGTGTGTGTGTGTGTGTGAATGTGTGTGTGTGAATGTGTGAGTGTGAATGTGTGAGTGTGAATGTGTGAGTGTGAATGTGTGTGCATGTGTGTGTGCATGTGTGTGTGCATGTGTGTGTGCATGTGTGTGTGCATGTGTGTGTGCATGTGTGTGTGCATGTGTGTGTGCATGTGTGTGTGCATGTGTGTGTGCATGTGTGTGCGTGTGTGCGCGCGTGTGTGCGTGCGCGCATGCACGCACAGGGGGGTGGGGGCTCACCTTCGACCAGTCAGGTTTATATAGCAAAACTTTCTCTGCATCTTCAAGTGCTTCATGGTACTTCTTCATTTTGGCATAAGCAGCAGATCTGATTGTGATAAGAAAAGGGCATAGCATTAAAATATGACAAACATCTAATGCTTTGAAGCCATATAGTTGATACTAAATTCAAAAGAAAAATTAATGAAAAATACAACAAATGTCTACTAACCTGTTGCTATAGAGGACATGATTCTCTGGGTCAATTTTGATTGCACTTGTGTAATGCAAAACTGCTTCACTCAGATTGCCTGCTTCCATGCAGGCATTTCCACGATCCTTTAACTGTGCTACCTAAAGATACAAACTCTTTTAATGAATTAACTCGCACTCTATATATTTTCACCCTTATGCTGTAACACGCAGAAATGTGACCACGTGGGAACTAGGTGCGATGCACATTAAAGTAATACAAGCCAGACGTGACATACAGTAATATACATTTAGTAAACAAATTTGGACTTATGAAGCAAATTTACATCCAGAAAAAGAATCTGCATGCTTCATACACCACAAGAAAATTTTTTTGAAGTACAGCAATAAAACGAGTTTCATGGTAAAGAACAATGTGAAGAAAATACATATATTTTTTGTACAATACTATGGTACCCGTACCAGAGGCAGTAGACAACGATACCCGAGTTGACATATACAACATATAGAGTACAGAATTATGAAAATAGTATAAATAAAGTACATGTAAAATGAGCAGAATATTTGTTTTGCTCGAGTATAAATAGATTCAGGGAAAATGGTTAGCCAGACTTGAGTCTTGGAGGTGGGAAGTACACTGCTTACAATTTAAAGGATGGGTTTGGGATACCTGTGTGCCTCTGCAAAGACAGTGATTAAGTGCGAATGATGGTGAAAGTAAAATGTAAGAAAGTCTAGGATCAGTAACATGCTAGGTCACTCCCAGTGTCTTAAAAATGGGCACAAAGACTGTTTGCACAATTTTTTTTTATCTAACAGTGGTATAAAACTTTTCACTTAGCTGATTCATACATTTAGGGAAATTAGTTACAAGACAGTGTTTCAAATGTAATTCATTTCACATGTGCGAGAAGAATATCACTAATTTCGGAGCAAAGGGAAATAAGACAACTATTTTTAATATTAATGTTACTTACCGATTTTGCTGAAAATGTCATGTGCATCACTCTTAATGTAATGACCAGCAGAACAATTTCATTCTAATCTAGGGTTAACATAATTACTGTACAGTTAAGCATGAAACAAAAAAATATTCTTCAAAATATTCTTTATTATACAGGCACAACAAATACAAAGTTTAATACGTACTTATTGTTTTGCCACTTTTCCATTACAATGTCTATTCACTTTCCTGAACTATTACAAGGGAAGGCCAGTATGACCCATTTAACAAAAATATTTTATTTAAGAGTATTATAACTGACATGTTTGGAGAAAAAAAAGAAAAAAAGCTCAAAATGGCTGCCTTTACTATACAGTACTTGTATGTACATGTTTGCATAACAATAAAATACAAATCATATGAAAAAGTTAAGGTAAACAGAAAGAAAAATTAAGAATGCAACAATTACATAAAAAGAAAGCCTACATAGTGTACATCCTAAATCAAAATTCAGTATGCACACACAAGTACACATTTAAAAAACAACTAATCGGTAGGCACACACGCTCCATATACTGGTGCCACTGTTTCCTTTGCTGCTGGAATAAGTAACCAGAGACTGCTGACGAGAAGTAAAATTTTCTACTACCAAGTATATGTACAGCATTAATTTACTATAGTCTTTACACAAAAATCTTTTATTTTAAGAAGTGACATAACACTTGTGTTCAAAATACTATTTAATATTTACAAAAAACATTACCTTGCATATAAAACCAGCTACCAAAACAACAACCCATCTATAATAAGCAGCAAGAGCAATTATACTTTTCTGAAAAATTACAAATATTTCCTAGACAGTTTTATAAATCTCTTCTATGATTCTGAGACATGATTTAAGTATACAATAATGGTACATTATACATTATGTAATACTGGTGAGACTTATTTCAACTGGGCCTTAGAGTTCAACCATAATGCCAGCTCTCAAACATTTACACCAAACAAAAATATTACATAAACCCTTTCACAGCCCACACTCCCCAAAATTAATATGGCTCTCAGTGTTCACTTTAAAAAAAATCTGAAATAGTTGAGAATCTTTTTTTTTTTTATGAAGGTAATAACACCAAGAGTAGCAGACTGATTAATTTACACACTGGCAATTTCACCCATTTTAAGTCTTATTTTAAACCAATTCCATTGCTCCTTTCGACAAAAGTCTTAGCTATTTCATTAGTATGTCTTCCATTCTATCAACTGAGCACAAGAACTGAACATACAGTGCACACAAGTTGGTAATTTGGCCAAGTTTACAAAATTAAAAAAACACCAACTTACAAATAGTCCCCCAAATAAACAATGTAGACATTCCTGGCACTAAACATTTTCTCTGTTCATTAGTCATGTCCCTTGGGCTCCCCTATATTACACTTGCCTTCCATTTTGAACTCATAATCAGAAGATTTACTCAATTTCCCAGATATTAAAATATAATCAGGAATGACTGGTCATGATTTACAGCATCTCAACACTGGAATCAGACCGAGGGGTATAGGAAGCCTTACCCATCCTCAGGAAAATCGGCAACAGAATATTTCTACTATTTTGAGCCCAATTTCAAGCTACTTCTGCTCCAGAAACCAATCAAAATCATCTCTATTTCAGTAGAATGTCTTCCATTCTATAAAATGATAACAAGAACAGCCAATAAAACTATAAAAACCATCCTAGAAAATACCTGTCATTTTTAAACCAAACATATGGTCAGGGTTTTGCTTTTTTCCATCATGCACTGTATGGCAAGATATTTTTTATACTCTGCACTCACTGCATAAACACATTCTCTCATATCTAGGCCAAAATTTACCACTCGCAGCTTATTTAAGTGAGCAGAATTCATAACAGAACTATGCAAGGGACCCTGGCCACAACGATGCACGTACAGGAGGGCCCTGCTTGTATGGCTGGTTAGGCTACAGCTGTAAAGAGAAAATCGCCGTAAAGCGAACCATCCATTTTTCACTTTTAAATATATATAAATGCCTGATAACATGTTTACACTATGATAAGTTAGCAATAGAACTAGACCTAAATAAAAAAAAAATCAAGTAAAATGCATATACAGTACACTCATTACTTACATTTAAAGCACCCCAGAGTGATTATTAATATGCTTACTGTCATCGATATTCCTTGTTAACATAATTTACTCACTTCAAGCCTGGCATTTAAATTAAGAGGATTATGACTCCTCTTTATATCACAACTACCCTTAGAAGCCATTGTAAACAAGAGAGAACAAGTAAATGAAAGAACAACAAAGAGGCAGAGAATACAAACACTTCCATTTTAAGAGCAAATAACACTGAGTGAAGGCATACAAAAGGAATATTTTTCTACAGTTATCCTAGTAATATTATACTGTATACAGCTTCTGTGGTGTTGGACCAGAGAAAATAAAATTCTTGCTGTCAGTACTACAAGCTACCTGGCTACCACAACCTCATTTATGTCATTTTGTTTTACTATGGTTTCATGTACGTATTACGTATGTTTATAGGATACAGAGTTTCTTAAATAATTTTGAAAAAAATATCAGGATTAATGAAATGTTTATAACATAATATTTTTTTTATTATTATTATCACACTGGCCGATTCCCACCAAGGCAGGGTGGCCCGAAAAAGAAAAACTTTCACCATCATTCACTCCATCACTGTCTTGCCAGAAGGGTGCTTTACACTACAGTTTTTAAACTGCAACATTAACACCCCTCCTTCAGAGTGCAGGCACTGTACTTCCCATCTCCAGGACTCAAGTCCGGCCTGCCGGTTTCCCTGAACCCCTTCATAAATGTTACTTTGCTCACACTCCAACAGCACGTCAAGTATTAAAAACCATTTGTCTCCATTCACTCCTATCAAACACGCTCACGCATGCCTGCTGGAAGTCCAAGCCCCTCGCACACAAAACCTCCTTTACCCCCCCCCTCCAACCCTTCCTAGGCCGACCCCTACCCCGCCCTCCTTCCACTACAGACTGATACACTCCTGAAGTCATTCCGTTTCGCTCCACTCTCTCTACATGTCCGAACCACCCCAACAACCCTTCCTCAGCCCTCCGGACAACAGTTTTGGTAATCCCGCACCTCCTCCCAACTTCCAAACTACGAATTCTCTGCATTATATTCACACCACACATTGCCCTCAGACATAACATCTCCACTGCCTCCAGCCTTCTCCTCGCTGCAACATTCATCACCCACGCTTCACACCCATATAAGAGCGTTGGTAAAACTATACTCTCATACATTCCCCTCTTTGCCTCCAAGGACAAAGTTCTTTGTCTCCACAGACTCCTAAGTGCACCACTCGCTCTTTTTCCCTCATCAATTCTATGATTCACCTCATCTTTCATAGACCCATCCGCTGACACGTCCACTCCCAAATATCTGAATACATTCACCTCCTCCATACTCTCTCCCTCCAATCTGATATTCAATCTTTCATCACCTAATCTTTTTGTTATCCTCATAACCTTACTCTTTCCTGTATTCACCTTTAATTTTCTTCTTTTGCACACCCTACCAAATTCATCCACCAATCTCTGCAGCTTCTCTTCAGAATCTCCCAAGAGCACAGTGTCATCAGCAAAGAGCATAATATACAACATTTAAAGTGCCCCAAAGTGATTATTATTATTATTATTATTACCGAGTCTTCAACACTAGTGAGACACTTAGTGACTTTAATATATACATGTACCTGCATGACAGCAAAGTGCACAAGTTTATTTAGGTACAGGTACACAAGTACAATTATCAGTTTATAGATTATGTATAAAATATGCAATAATTTTAAAACATTTGAAATTCTGGAAAGTTTCCAGACATAAAAGAGAGAGCAAGCTCATGGAGGATGTAAGTAAGTGGCACACAGACACTAATATGCCAACATTGAGGTGCATTTTTGTATGGTACTTATGGTTGTATTCTCGTTTTCTTGGTCTCATTTGACAGAAATAGAGATGATTTTGATTGGTTTCATGAAGTACAGTAGTACCACCTTGAATCCAATACGTGTCCAACTGGCCAGTCTAATACGCAGTCATAAATGGGTTGACATTATTAATACAATTATTACAATAATGCAGTAGTCTGCGTAACTTAACTATTTTTTGTGTGAATAAAAATTCA